AAACTTTCAATGTCCTAAGGTCCTATCACATGAAGCTCAATCCTGAGAAGTGTACCTTTGGTGTAGGGTTTGAAAAATTCTTGGGCTTTATGATCAATCAGAGGGGAATTGAGGTGAACCCAGATAAAATCAAGGCTATTCTCGACATGAAGTCACCTTTCTCGACCAAGGAGCTCCAGCGTCTCAATGGAAGAATCGCTGCACTCAATAGGTTCTTTTCCAAATCTGCAGACAAATGTCTGCCATTCTTTAAGATTCTCCGGAAGGCCTTTGAGTGGGAACCTGAGGTAGAAGAGGCCTTCCAAAGGCTCAAGGTCTACCTATCCACACCTCCCCTCCTATCACATGTCATTCCGGGAGAAACTCTTCATCTTTATCTTTCTACTTCCTCATCAGTAGTAAGCTCAATACTCATTAGAAATGATAATGGAGTGTAGAAGCCAATTTATTATGTGAATAGGGCATATCGGGGGCAGAGATCAGATATTCGGGACTAAAAAAATTGGCGCTCGCCCTGATCACAACGGCGAGACAACTACGACACTACTTTCAGAGTCACAGCATAGTGGTCGTCACAAACCAACATCTCAAAAGAGTCTTGGGAAAGCCAGACATATCCGACAGACTTCTTAAATGGGTAGTGGAACTTGAGGAGTTTGACATTAAGTACCAACCAAGGGTAGCCATCAAAGCACAAGCCATGACAAATTTCATTGTCGAGCTCACACTAGCAAAAGAAGGAAACTGCATGGATGCCCAGATGCCCAACGGGGACACCCAGAAGCCTAGCAACGACTCTTAGGTGCCTAAGCTGGGCGCCTAGGTCTCCTTCCCAGGCGTCCAGACTTCATCTCCAGGCACCCAGGCAATCCCTCCAGGTTCCCAGACTGTAACCCCAAACGCCCAGATAGCTCCTGGTGCCCAGGCTGGTGCCCAAGCAGTCCTTGCAGGCACCCAAGCTACTCCAAGCACCCAAACTGGCGCCCAGGATGCTCCCTCTGGCACCTAGGCTACTTCCCCCTAGCACCCAGGCAACTTCCCTATACGCCTAGTTGCCTACTTTAAATTTCAAACCCTCCTCTCCTCTACTTTAGAAACTCTACGTAGATAGATCTTCGACTAGTGAAGAAGGAGGAGCGGGCCTAATCTTGATTATTCTAGATGGCACCACTCTCAAGTATGCGGTGAAGCTCCACTTCATTGTTTTCAATAATGAGGTGGAGTACGAAGCCCTCCTCCTTGGATTAAGATTGGCAGTGGAAATGGAAGCTCAACACCTTGCCACTTACGGTGACTCTCAACTGATAATTAATCAAGTGAAGAGCGAGTTTGAAGCCAAAGGAGCCAGGATGTAGGAATACCTTGGCATGGCAAGAAGCATAATCGCAAAGTTCCACTACTTCTAGATAAGCCATATCCCCAGAGAAGACAACATTGCCGCTGATGCACTTGTAAAGCTCGCCTCATCTGTGGAAGCCCCATCAGGAGAGCCAGCATTCATTGGTCACCAGTTCGAGCCAAGAAAGTTGGACATGGAAGCCACAAATGTCAATTGTGCATCAGCCGAGTCAAACTGGATGACCCCAATAAGGGCATACCTCCAAGAATTTGTGTTGCCAGATGATCCTCTAGAGGCCAAGAAGTTGAGAATGAGAGCCTCCAAGTTTGTCGTCCTGCATGATACTTTGTATAATAAAGGCTATTCCTTGCCGTTGCTGCGGTGCCTCTCACCCGAAGAAGCTCACTATGCCCTGCGAGAGATCCATGAGGGGATCTGTGGGAACCACTCTAGAGGGCGCTCCCTTACCCACAAGGCGCTCAGACAAGGCTACTTCTGGCCTTCCATGGTGAGGGATGCCTAGGAATTTTCCAAGAAGTGTGACAATTGTCAACGCTTCACAACTGTGTCCAGACAACCACCGGAGGAGCTAACAACCATTTCAAGTCCGTGGTCTTTCTCCAAGTGGGGCATCGACATCCTAGGTCCCTTGCCTCTCAGCAAATGACAATGCAAGTTCATGGTAGTGGCAATCGACTATTTCACCAAGTGGGTAGAGGCTGAACCCATAGCTAAAATCACACACGCAAAAGTCAAAGATTTTATCTGAAAAAGTCTGGTCTGTCGCTTCGGGATTCCCCACACCATTGTCAGTGATAACGCTAAACAGTTTGACAATAAGCTGCTGAACTCTTTTTGCTTTGACCTTCAGATAAAACAACCTCACTCCAGCCCAGCACACCCGCAGACAAATGAACAAGTAGAGGTCATAGTGAGAACAGTGCTACGCAACCGAAAGACAAGGCTTGAAAGAACGAAGGGTCTTTGGGTGGACAAGCTACCTGGTGTATTGTGGGCCTATCGAACCACGCCAATAACTCCTACTGGGGAGACCCCTTTCTACCTCACCTTTGGAACTGAGGCGATCATCCCTGTGGAGATCGGGGTACACTCCTAAGGGTCCAACACCACAACCCCATCACCAACGAGGAAGGACTTTGCATCAACCTTGACTTGGTAGATTAGGCAAGGGAGATGGTTGTGGTCCGCAACGCGGAGTACAAATGACGCATAACGAGGTATTACAACTCGAGGGTGAAACCTCGTTCCTTCCACCCAGGGGACTTGGTCCTCAAGAAAGTGATCCTCGCCACAAAGGATGCACGCGAAGGANCTGTGGTCCGCAACGAGGAGTACAAACGACGCATGACGAGGTATTACAATTCGAGGGTGAAGCCTTGTTCCTTCCAACCAGGAGACTTGGTCTTCAAGAAAGTTATTCTCGCCACAAAGATTGCACGCGAAGGAAAGCTGAGACCAAATTAGAAAGGACCCTACCTCGTAACAGAGGTGGTGAGGCCGGGCACCTACAGGATCTAGAATTCTGAGGGGAAAGTCTTACTCCATCCATGGAATGCGGAGTACTTGAAGAGGTATTACCAATGACACCTTGAGAGCATCAAAGTAGTGAAAGTTGGGACTTGATTTTATTTTTTAGGGTTACTACCCAATATTCAATGTACTNGCCAGGCACCTATAGGATCTAGAATTCTGAGGGGAATGTCTTACTTCATCGATGGAATGGAAATCACTTGAAAAGATATTACCAATGACACCTTGAGAGCATCAAAGTAGTGAAAGTTGGGACTTGATTTTATTTTTTGGGGTTATTGCCCAATATTCAATGTACTTTTTGGGAATTATTACACAATGTTGCTTTATATAAGCAATAGATCAATAAAATTTTCTATGTTTTACTCTAAAAAATCTTTTGCTTTTTATTTCAAAGGAGTACCAGTACAAAAGTGAGGCTATAAACTGCCTTTCTTAAAAAAAAAAATCAAATTTCTGAAACACTCTAATTGCTCTCACGGTCGTCCTCCACCTCTTCCTCATCATCCTCAGCATTATCAGAAGCCCCCTCACTATCATCAGTAGGCACGAAACCTGAGAAGTCAATGTCAGAGAAAGCAGCAAAGATCTTCCCCTCGGAGCTCCTCGAAACCATCAATGAAATTATCTGCGATGCCATTCTCCACATCTTCCTCAACACGGGAAGCTCTCTCCTGAGCAACCTTCAACTCTGCTTCCGCAGCAGCCTCTCTGAGCATAGCCCTCTCATGGGCCTCTGCAAGCCCAGCCTCCCTGAGCGCGTTCCTCTCGTGGATCGCCAGAAGCTCAGCCTCAAGCTTAGTAGCCCATTCACAGGCCTCAATAAGCTTACCCTTTCTGAGAGCGTACCTCTCACAGATCCCCAAAAGCTCAGACTCAAGCTTGGATGCCATCTCATGAACTGCCACAAGCTCATCCCGAGAAAGTACTACTAGCTACCTTAAACTCGGTAATCCTCCCCTGAGCAATAAGAAGCTCCCTTTGCATGACGTTAAAATCCAACTTCAAATTATCATGATTATAGGCCTTTGAAATCAAGCAGATGGATGAAGTTGAAACCTAAAAAAGGTAAAAGGTGAAAAGGTGACAAAAGACGTAAGAAGGAAGTGGAGAAAAGGAAATAGCAGACCCTTACCTGAGCCAGGCCTTCCAAGTATGTGTTGACAACCCTCTCAGTGCCAGAAGTACTAAGCTGACAAACTTTGGGTGCAAACACAAACCTTCCAAGCCTTTCTTTGATGATTGGCGGTCTTTCCATCATGGGACCAAGTCAAGTCGGTCCTCTAGCGGAGGTTCCCGCATGAGGAGGGGACAAAGGAGGAGCAGAAGGTGTGCTCGGCAAGGAAGACTCTAGAGTAGCAACTGAAGAAGTCACTGGCTGAAGAGGTACCACCGTAGGAGTCATTTGGGGGGCATCACCCGTCCTCGCCACCTTGGAAGAAGGAGGGCTCCTGCTAGAATAGCGAGACACTACCACTCTTTTACTTAGGGATATCAATGGACTGAAGTGGAGGCGGGGGGTATAGTCTCCATCCTCGTACCCGCTTAAAAAATCTTCTTCCATCCCCGGTCCACCCTCGTTAAGAGGTATTTTTTTTATCCCCATCCCCGTCCGCGGGGAATTTTTTAATCCCCGCCCCCGTCCCCACTTCACCCGTATCCGTCCAAGTCCAAGCCCAAGCCCAAGCCCATAATCACATCATAAGAGAAACACAGATTTTTGAACTCCAGATTACTGATGTCACTTCCACAAATTTTTGAAGTTTATATCTCCTTTTTCACAACACAAAATTTTCAACGTGCATATCCAACAAATGTTTCCACTTCTGGTGCCAATACGAAGTCCAAATGGAGAGTAATATAAAAGAGAGGAAATTATCTGAATGTTGTTTATCATCTACACCACTAACGCTATCCATCTATTGATAGCTTCAAAAAAGCAGAATCCTTGAAAGGAATAAATAATAATTGGAGTACCAAACATGGAAAAGGTAAACATCCCTAAGCCATTCTAAGGTGATGGCACCAAACTTTGAATTCCGATGTCTCTACATAGAGGTTAGGAATTACCCAAAAGTCTCAGTCATACATTTAAAAATACAGGTAAAATTCATGAAGCCTTATGAAATAAAGCAATATAGTTAACCTTAGTTGTCCCTGTGGAATTTACGTAGAGGTAAATTGGTTTTTCTTCATCCTCATATTGAAGATAAAGAAATTCTGCTAGTATCAACTCTGTGACCGATGGAACTAGAGACATTCCCAAGTAGACAATTCGATTCTTATACAAGTAAGATGCTAAATCTGGAGGAGGTTGCTCCCATGCACTTCCCCTTGAAAAAGGAATAACCTGTCAACAGAAGTATGGCAAACAACAGTTCTGAGAAGTTTCTCGAATACAATAGGATGATAAAGTCAAGCAAAATAAAGGTTAAGAATAATTAAAGCGAAACATAGTTATTTCTTTTATGAAAATATATAAAATTACATCAAGGATAATAACTACATAACGAAGGAAATCTGTGCAATTCAAACTGCACATGGATGACATTAAACCTTCATTAAAATGTGCAATTTAAAAACATTACAAGGAGAAAACTTTCATTATATTTTAGATTGTTGAGTAAGAGTATTTGAATATGGTATTAATTACAGGATTAACAAGCTGTTTGGTAGGAAATACAAACTCAATCAACATATTTCTAGCAAAAGGATTTTCTTTTTCTTATTGCTTTCATTCTTTTTTCTTATAAGCCAGCCATGCCTAAACCTGTGAGGAGAGAGAGATAACCTGCGATGCTTGTGCCTATGAAAGATGTGAAAGATTATCTGGAATTTGGCTAGTCAAAAGATTTCCATGAAACTCAAGCACCTCAAGATCTCAAACTCGATAAGCTGCTAAAACCTTCAGGAAGATCTCTGAGATCGATTGATGGAGACTGAGAGTAGCAGAGAGAAAGGGGGGTTGCGCTAATAGTCACGGCTTGGGATTTTGAAGAACTAAGCTAGTCTCGATGTTCACGTGTGTCCTGAGAGGGGGGCGGCACTCAATCGCTGATAGGAAAAGAGAAGAAGAGAAGTTAAGTATTGGGTTTTTTGACTGGGCATATATATATATATTAAAAGGGTAACGAGGACGGGGCGAGGTGGGGCGGGGATAAGGGTAAGTCCATCCCCACCTTCATTCTCGCACGGGTTTATACGGGTATTCTCGTATACGTCCACCGTCCAATACGTATAGTCCATCCCTGGTCCAAACAGGGCAGGTTTGGACGAATCCCCGTTTTTCTCCGGTCCACTGTCATCCCTACTTTTACTTGCTGCGAAAACAATAAAGTGTCAGGGAGGTGAAAAATACCAAAGGGAAGAGAAAATTAAAGGAGGAAACCAACTCACCCTTTTTCTTTGAAGAGGAACCACCAGATTTCAGGGAGGGAGCAACGACCCTAGTATCCTTGGGCAGAAGAGCTCCCAAATCTTTGTAAGGGCAAGCCTTGACGGCCTCTAACTTCCACTCCTAGTCTTGAGAAAGCACTCGTGTGTCTGCAAGGGAATGGTGAACACATATACACAAAAAAAAAAAAGAATCAAATGTGCAACGTACTGGGTTTTTTGGCAGCACCCCACCGTATTGACACCAAAGCTCTGTCGGCTTCTACAACCCACTCTCCACCAACAAAGAAGAAGTAAGATTTTCAGCCATGACAATTGGAGCGCAGACCCGTGAGCACTGTACCAATTCTTGTGGTAAAGTAGTACCACCCCCTATTTGGTGTAGGAGTTTCGCTCAAATTGTATGCTGCGTGGAACTTCACAGGAGAAACATCTTCATGGTGCACTTTCCTCCATAATGTAAGAAAGCCTAGTAGAACTCTCTGACCATTAGGCGCTAATCGCCCCAGAGTCAAGGAAAAGTAATGCAAAATACGACAAATGGGAGAGGACATGGGGAATCTTAGCCCAGCCTCAAGCATCTCCTCGTAAACAACAATATTACCAGAAGAGTCGTCGCAAGCAAGCTCGCCTAACTCAGCCCAACGGCACAGCACAGTCGGAGGAATGCGATAAGCATAAACAAGCCTTAAGATATCTTCCCAAATGGAACAGACTGGAAAGGATACTTACCTTAGACCCATCATCATCGAGTCCCACCTTGCCTTTGCGCTTCTTCTTTCGGGGCCGTAGGGAGTAGTCTAAGCCACCATTTGGGAAGTCTTGAGGAGCTTGAATTAGAGGAGTCACAACCAGGTCCTGATTATCAAAAGCAGCACCCAAAGCTTCCTTGTCACCTACAGTGTCTGGCCCAACGCTTGGAGGGGTCCCTGACCGATCAGCGCCTAGGCTACTGCCCAACGCACCTGAACTGCCTAGGATAGTAGTGCTAGCGTGCCTAAGCTGTCCAGGACAGCAGAATCAGTGCCCAGGCAGTTGCCTCATGCACCAGAACTGTCCAGGATAGCCCCCAATTCGCTGCCCATCTCGCCTATGATGTCCACCCTTTTTCTTGCATGTCTACCCGGGTTGGAGGCCTTGCCAAAATCACCAAAAACCACACATGAGGCTCCCAGACCAGTGCCTGCGCGGGTTGCTGGTGCACGCGCACAGCAGTGGCAGCCAACGAGGATTTTCCTCCTCCTCTTCCTCCTCCTCCTTCAACCCTTTCAACTCCAAAGGCTCTAAGATGACTTTTTTCAGCCCCAATTTCGTCATTCCTCATGGCACTAATGTAGCTTTTTTATTCCACCTCCTTCAAAGCTCCAATACCCATTTAATCTACCCAAGAATACCAACAAAATGATCTTAAAAGATTTCAAGCCTTGCCTCCCTTCTCCCAAGTCTCAATGGAATGGAAAGAACTTAGCTCACAAGAATGGGCTCTCAAGGTTTTCAAGAGATGGGTGCTCAATCTCAAAGTGAATGAAATGGGTAGAATGAAGAAGAAGGTCATATTTATAGCTTAGGGTTTTTAAAGAGGAAAAAACCCAAATTGAAAGTTATGGGCTCTTCTAAAAATCCTAGCAAAAGTGGAAAAAACTTTAGGCATGCAAAGCAAAAAGGCATTGTGGAGGGAAGGAGTCATCTAGCAGAGGAAGTCTCCACCACTTATAACTCAAGGAGCAAACTAATGCACCCTTCTCCAAGTTTCTTTGAACACGGGGCATTGAGGGGGGCAAATGATGGGTTAAACCCAAATGACCCAATCTATGTGGAAAGTCCAAATTTCAATTGAGGAGCTCAACCTCATTAAAGATCCACCAAGCCCAACATAGTCAAAGACCAGTCAGACTCTCTGCTTAGCCACGTCATCAAGAGGGAGAGCATGGGGGCCTTACCTGCACCGCAGAAGGAAACGGTCCACCCTCACCTTATCTTTGACTGCATCTCATGGAGAGCTCCTCAACCACCTCGCTCGTTGAGAAGAAGTCATGAGCTCCATCGAAATGGTTGCTTACTTACTGAAAAATAACCCCAACCTGTTAGGGAGCCACTATAAATTGCATGCCCCACCAACACTTGGGGGGCATCACACTTTTTACCTGAGCACAACTCTCTCCTCTCCCTCAAAACTTGTATTCTCTGTTCCCCACACCCTTGAGTTAATAAAGTATCCGATGACCAGAGCCATCCAAGAGTGGACGTAGGTCGAGTTGACCGAACCATTATAAATTGCTTGTGTCTCTCCATCTCCTTATATTATTTCTTGCATTTATTATTCACACTTGATAGGTGGTGTGCAAAACTATTTTGTGCATCATCAATACTGTTAAGGATATTTTTAGAATTAAAAAAAAAATAGTGAATTTAAGTATTTATTAGTAAGATAAAAAATGAATTTATCACCACGTAAGTTTACTTGACGGACTCGTCAAGTTATTATAAGTTCATTTTAGAGGACTCAACCCCAATTTTCACAATTTTTTTAGTCCATTAACCTTCGGCCCTGAGGCAAGACCTTTTGTTATTTCTAAACTTGTCAATCCTATAAGTTGAGGTGAATTTGTAGCGGGTTTTAGTGGGTTTTTGAATTTGTATAGATTTACTCATATCCAATTAATTTATTAATTGGGTCATCGGGTCACTCGTTTACGAAACATGTGGCTTAAGAAATATTCAAATCCTCTAATTTTGTGTTATGTTTATAGATTATATAATATTTTGACAACCCTAATTATTTCACATCCAAATCAAATTTAGCTTTATTCTTTTAGTTTTGAAAATACTTTCTTTTTATTTTATTTTGGTATATAAAAGATTTTGGCTTTTAGATCCTTGAAAAATCTCTTTTCTTGATACCTTTATTCTTCCTTGAACTGCCTAAGTTAGGATACAACTCATCATGCAAGTGTAAACTATAAAAACGAGTCAAAATATATCGATGCTGTTTCTTTGATTAAGCTTGTGAAATCTCATGATGAAGAAGGAAAACATAAATCTACTGATTGAATAAAAAAAGGGTTAATCTCAAATTACATTTCGAAAGATCATTCGAATTTTAATTTACACCCTCAAAGATAAAAAATCTCAATTTATACTCTCAAAAATAGAAATTTATATCAATGCGCACCTCAAACTAACAGTCGTCAATTTGCGGTCTAAAATTAAATAAATAAATTACACATATACCTCCTTATGTTTGTCACTTAATTACCTAGACCCCTCACATTTGAAATATCCCTTGAGAATCCAAATATAACTAAATAATCCAATATGACTAAAAATGTTCTCCCAATTTGGCATTCAAATAATTCTGTTTAAGTGATGTATTGAATTAGATATAAAGAATATTATATAAATACCTACATTACATTGGACATTTAAATGATAAGCTTGATTTTAAACTTTAGAATATAACGGACCTACAAAATAAAGGGTAGTATGAAATAATAATTTTTTATTAGGATAAAATTATATTTTTTAACATTTATATTAATAGATATCAATGACAAAGAATTATGTGTTACACGTACACAAATGTTAAAAGGTGTAGAAGTAATATTCTAAATGTGAGGGGGTCTAAATGATTAAGTGACAAACATAAAGGGATCTAAGTATAAATTATCCATTTAGTTTTAGCCAGCAAACGGACGCCTGTTAGTTTCAAGTACATATTGATACAAATTTATATCTTTGAGGGTACAAATTAAAATTTTTGATATTTAAAGGTACAAATTAAGATTCAATTAATCTTTTAAGATACAATTTATAATTAACCCTAAAAAGAATTATTCTTCCTTTTTAAAGGCACCTATAACGATTGGCGGATTATTAATCACTTGTCATGGTTAGACATGCCATGCAAATGGATAAAATTCTAATCTAAATTCGATTAGTCGGATATGAATTAATATTTTTTTGTTGATAATTTGAACTTAAATTTGATATTTTATATGTCACGAATTTGGGTTTAGGTATACTTATATTTGATCCGATCTAAAAAATTTATATAAATATTAAAAAATTTAAGTGATTATTTAAAAAAATTTAGGTATAATTTATTAAAATTTAGTTAATTAAGGTATTCAATCGGATTTTGGATTGTTA